CCAATGGTGCTCTGCCATTGATCCAAACCATCCACAGGGCTCAAGCCTCTGACTCCAAGTCAGAGGCTTATTGTAGCTCTGACCTCACTGTGTTAGCCTGCTGCTGTGTAACCTTACATAGCTGTCAAAAGCTGGAATGAAGGTCCACCTGTATTTAACTTTCCCTGCTGTGTAACCTGTTAGAAGCTGGTATGAATGGAGAAAAAGCTGTCAGTGTAAAAATTAAGTACACCCTTGGCCTCAGAAGCTAATATTGCCCATGTAGCAGAAATTATTTCTTGTATGTATAACTGCAGGTCCACTGCAGATCCAGCAGGCTCCACCCACTACAGGCCAACTTTATTACAGGAGGGAGCAGAGACAAGACCAGTCACCCTGCACAAGAAGAGAGAGCAGAAGTGACCTGTCTTTATTACAGGAGGGGGCGGAGACAAGACCAGTCACCCCGCACAAGGAGAGAGAGCAAAAGTGACCAGTCTGCACAGAGGCAACAAATAGCAGTTGTTTAAAGCTGGATGAAAAACACAAAGGACATCAAGATTCACATAAGTATACAGTGCATGTATTTAGACAATATTTGTTTAGCCCGGATTTCAACATTAAAGCAGCCAGGACAGTGACAAATAGATACCGATCGGTTGTTATGTCTTACAGCACTTTCCCTATTACTAAATGGTAGACTCTAACTATTTATCAGTTCTGTGAACATAACATACATTGTAGGACATCGCCATCATTTTGCTAAGCAATTGCCATGAAGCAGCCTTGTAATTCGATTTCACGCAGAGCGACACATAACAGAGATAGGAACAAGGCTCATTACTATTGTCCTCCGTCTTGCTGGATATAACTGTGACCAAAAGGAGACAGGCTGCGAATACAGATAATGGAGCTGAATATTCTTTAATGTGGATTGTGGAAAAAATTAATCAGATTTAATCAGCTCAATGGGAATTAGCTTTCACCACGGCATTGATTGTCATAGCACCAGCCCCACCTTCCCCCTGGGAAAGCTCTACAAGGCCCAACCATCACGCTGGACTTTCAACATAATTCAGCCATCAATGGCCACCCAAGGCCCCTTCATCAGGCGTTTCTACAGATAAAAGCTGAAACGGCACAAAACAAAATACTGTGAGCAAAAGCACATAAAAAACGATGGTTTTCACTTTTATCCAACACGGATTCTAATACTGTTATTCCAGAAGGAGAAGCAAAGCTCCATTGGGGCAGCTGCTGGTTTATCCTCACGGTGGGAATCATCCTCCCCCACCCTCTCTTTCTTAAAACTGATCTCCAGACAAACAGCTAAGTACACAGATGAAATGCATATATGGAAGCTTTTTTTTTCCTGCCTAAGGATTTGTATCCATTTGTACATCTATTTCTGAGATTTATATATCTCTGCCACACAGCACAGCCAGCCTGGAGACCTGACTTTCTTCTTCCACAATTAATCAATAAACCTAGGTCATCTCCCCACCCCCAGGCTGTAACTGGACATCGAAAGAGCAGATGCAACCCATCTCCCTGGCACTCTGTTCTATCCTCCAATCACCATGTTCCTTTTCATCATATGTGGACCTGATTGGCTCCTTCTCCCAGCCTGAATGCTGCTGTACATAGGATTGCAAGAATCTGATACCAAGTCGAATTCAGATGCTTACCCTAGTTGCATATAAAAATAAATGTAATTATTTTACACAAATATATAACTGCATTCCTTTATATAATTCAATGATATATATATACAGGGCTTGAAAAATTTTACGGTGTCTCACCAGTCAGTCAAAAATTTCACCAGTCAGCATGACTCAAGGTTGGACGTGTTGTGTGTTCAGAGATACTCTTCTGCAGATCTCGGATGTAACGAGGTTATTTGAGTTACTGTTGCCTTTCTATCAGCTTGAACCAGTCTGGCCATTCTACTCTGACATCAACAAGCCATTTTCATCCACACAACTGCCACTCGCTGGATATTTTCTCTTTTTCGGACCATTCTTTGTAAACCCGAGAGATGGTTGTGCATGAAAATCCTAGAATATCAGCAGTTGCTTAAATACTCAAACCAGCCCGTCTGGCACCAACAACCATGCCATGTTCAAAGTCACTTAAATGCCCTTTCTTCCCCCATTGTGATGCTCGGTTTGAACTTCAGCAGACCATCTTGACCATATCTACAGGCCTAGCTGTATTGAGTTACTGCCATGTGATTGGCTGATTAGATATTTGTGTTAACGAGCAGTTGAAGAGGTTTACCTAATAAAGCGGCTAATGAGTGTGTGTGTGAATACAGCGTATATTTGCGTGAAGTTTATCAACTTTAATAATAAAAAAATATTAAAATAAATCCTGCACAGCTGTGATATGTACATTTTATATAT